ATTTATAGTTCACAAAGTCCAGAGAAGGCAAAGAGTAACGTATCCCAGCCACACTGCATCCACCGAAGTCTCTTAAATCCAGTCAGACGGTGTTGCTGTCTGGGATTCTTCTCCAGAAACATAAGATTTATTTTTCCATCTCAGACTCTCGGCTTTAGAATCAGCCTGATGTTTTAATAGTTCACTTGGAGAAGCTTAGTTTCGCTTTTGAGTCAGACTGATAAGATAAACCCGCCGCTGCATTTATTCTTTCAGCCAAATATTTTCATTCTTATTTCAGCTTAATGAGGCTGTTTCATAAATCAGAGGCTTCGGCTTACTTACTTGTTATATATTTTTAGTTTATATTGATTGCTCTCCTCTCCCCCGGTAAAGGGTTCCTCGCGGCTCAGTGCCAAAAAATGGCGCCCGCTCCAGTCCGTGCACGGTGATTTCTTCAGAAGAGAAAAGTCCGGGTCTGCCTCCCTTTCTTCTCCTTCTGCTGCTCACCATCTGCTTCAGAGAGACTTCTTCTAGACTCTCCTTTGATCCCCATTTCAAAAGGGGGATCCCGGGCCGGAGGGTTCCAGCTTTTTCCAGAGAGCTCCTCTCTGGAGTTGCTGGCAGCACCGCAACAAAGCCCCGCCTCTCAAGAGCAACCTGAATGCTGACACCAGTGGCAGCAGTCATGATGGTCTAAATACCCTCTTGCACTCAGTATCATCCATGTGTGTTGAAATACAGCCCTGACAACTGCTTTGTGTTTGGGAAGAAAGTGGTGAATTGATTTTTTAAAAAGTCAGGTGCTGAGATTTTCCCTTGCTTGGTGTCACTTTGTGAATGTTTCCCTATGAAATTAATTGCATCCCTCCAATCTGCCCCCTCCATGCCATGATGTGTTATTCCCCTTCTCTGTCTGCAAGATGGGGTACAAAATCTCTCTCTTGTAGCTTATTTTTGTGTGACTGCTTAAATCTTTTGTTTATCTGCTTTCCTTTGGGCATTGTGTTTGAGTTTGTTGTTATTTCTCATCAGTGTCGAGGAATGGACCATCCTCCTCCTTGGAAGGGTAAGAAAAAATGAGAAAAATGCCACTACACCGTTTTAAACTGCAGTTAAGATGGTTAAGATCATTGCTTCACATTAGGGTGATGCCACATACTTGGAAGTAACACCTGGTAACTCAGTATCCATATTCCCAAATGTTACTGTGCAGAATGTAAAAAGCAATGTTGACCTCCCTCCACCCAAAAAATTGAAATGATTTTTTAAAAAATCTTGGCTTGCTTAGAATAACTTAAAAAAATTTTCATGGTATAATATTGTACATTCTAGAAATACACACAGACACAAAATCCTTTACGAAAGATATAGTTAATGTAAGCATTAAAATGATGGATCACATGAAATGAAATTACTTGTATGCACTGTATATAGACTACAGTATGCAGCAACCTTATCTTCAATATGCAGAAAGGACAGGAACATAAAAGCTGTAAGAGCCTTGTAAAAATAAAACGGAATCTTTAAGAACTTAATTGTATGTGCAAAAGTGGGGGGGGGAGCCTATTCTGGTGTAATGTGAATTTCCTGGTCAATGTAAATTGATCTGAAGCCATAATTAGCCCTATAGTAAAGCTGGCATCCCATCTATTGCATAAGGACTTGTTCTAAAAAATGGATTTACAGTTTCAAGTTCCTTATTTCCATTTTGCATCCATCTTCACTAGTCTACCCCAGTTCAGACAGGAACTATGATCGTATAGTTGTTGTGGGTTTTTTGGGCTCTTTGGCCGTGTTCTAAAGGTTCTTCTTTCTAATTTTTCGCCAGTCTCTGTGGCCAGCATCTTCAGAGGACAGCACTCTGGGCTCTGGTGTAGTTTGCTTGGGAGTTGAGTATTTATGGCTCTGAGATAGGCCTTTGTCCTTTTCAGGAGATGGGGGATTAGTGTGCCTTGTTGTGGGTGTATTGTTGTGATAAGGAGAGATTATCTGTCACTGTGATTGATGGGTGTCATTAGCTGGTCTTTTGTGTGTAGTGATCCCCGGTCCTTGTGGCTGGGTAGAGTTCGTTGACCTTTTGCACGTTGTATTTTTGAGAGCTGGGAGCCAAGTTTTGTTGAGTTTCAAGCTTTCCTCTTTTTTGTTCAAATTCTGCTGGTGCTTGTGGATTTCAATGGCTTCCCTGTGCAGTCTAAAGTAATGATTGCTGGTGTTGTCCAGTATTTCAGTATTTTGAAATAGAATTTCATGTCCAGCTTGTTTTAGGGCATGTTCAGCTACTGCAGATTTTTCTGGTTGTTTTAGTCTGCAGTGTCTCTCATGTTGATTCTTGCGTGGATTCTTCGTTTTGTGGTTCCAATGTATATCTGACCACAATTGCAAGGTATCCGATATACTCCTGCAGTGGTGAGAGGCCAGGCAAAGTATGTAGTACACAAGACTACTCAGATCATGTTATCACCTAAGGCAGAAAAATCTACAAAGCCCTCTCCCCTCCTTGAAAGCAAAAATACAGCTATGATAAATCATAACAAATGACATTATGCTGTTCTTTTTATGGCATCAGAAAATGGCTGTCAATGTCTCCCTCTTCCTAATGGTAGGTCTGGATTTAAAATTCTTTATTAGTTCCCAACACAAGCCAAATATTACATGGTTGAAGAGGGCATACAATAAAGTTTCAAGGATTTTAAAATCTTTATTGATATTAGATTCTTTTCTGAACAGATTTTTTTGGTTTATGGTTTTTCTACCCAAGAAACAATTTTAGAAGCGCATCAACTCTGAGGTAAAATGTTTTGGAGGGAAAAAGAAGAGCCAAAACCTTACAGGGAGAAGAGAAGATTAGCTGAGGAGAAAGCAAAACAACATAAAGTGAAAACCAGTCCCCACCTCCAAGCTACAGATAGTAATGCTAATGCAAGTTTTTTACAATACAGTCACTCTGAGTCAAAGAATCTGACCCTCTTATGTGTGGTAAACTCACAGAGAAGATGGCTTCTATCCAGGCAACCTTCACTGGACAAGAAACGTTGCGCATGCAAACAAGGACTTAGCATAGAGGTGGGTGAAGTGGGACTCTCCAGATACTGCAGTATTGTGAGGCCAATCAGTCCTAGCCAGCACTACCAAATAGAAGGCATCCTGGTGGGATACAGCCGAACAACACCTGGAGGGCTGCACATTGCCCACCTCTGACTTAACACCTCTTCTCTCAAGCCAGCTGTTGGGAATCCTCCCAGTAATATCAACAACCAGCTGTTTAGGAAGGAAATCAGAAGGACTGGTGGTTATTTCATGAAGTTGAGCACATGCTCAGTTGAATGGAGGTACTCAGTGCCTTACTTCAGAGGAAATACTGGCTGTGTAAGGATTTTTGAATTGTACCAGAAAGGATGGAAGACCATGATACATCACCTCTTAAATCTTAACTTCCCTCTCCTAAAAGGGAAAAAAAACACATACATTATCTTTATATACTGGCAGTGTGAGGTCTCCCTCCAGCTGCCACTGGCCAGCCAGCACTGTTTCCATTGTTGCCACCTAACTTTATTTCGCTCTGGGGGAAAAACAGAGGGCAGGATAGAGCCTTGATTCCTCCCTACTTGTATTGTGCCACCTAAAACAGGCACCTTGTTCTGTCTATAAGAAGGGCCAGCCCTATTTACAATCTTTCACACACATAATAGCAAGGAGTTCCAAATTCATGGGGCTGGGGAGGTGGTGGTGAAACGTGAGAGAAGCCACTTTTGCACTTATGATAATTTCAGAAAGAAAGAGATGGTTTGGCCTCCTTTTGTCCTTGATATGAGCGCTGGAGGGGATGAATTTGGGCTGAGAAAGCTGACTTCTGCCCTTTGAACTAGATTTCTCTCTTTTGGTGTACCAGGGAGATAAGCTTCCCATTCTGTAAGGAGAGAGAACTGTGCCTTTCTGTGCAAAGTTGCAGATGTAAGCTATGCTATGTTATGTTCTCTTAGCCTTAGGAACAGGATCAGCACTTCTTCATTGTTGGGCATAATCGAAAGCAAGAAGAGGAAATGTCTATAGAACAGTCATCCTCCCAGCCAAGTTTTGAGGGAAACATAATCCTAGCCCTTTATACTTTTCTAATATAAAATATTTTTCTGCCTCTCATATTTGGGATCCAGGTATCTCCACACACAGGAGTTCCAATTACACATAAACACAAGTATAAACATCCACACAAACACACTCGCACATGGGGGGAGGGCAAAGATATACTCTGAAAAAAACAGAACCAGTCTGCTACCTGAAAGGCTTCCCTCTGTAAAATAATGCTAATCAGATATATTTGATGTGTCAGATATATTTCATGGCTATTTGCATGTCCCAAATATTATACAGTGGGGTCTCGACTTACGAACTTAATCCGTATTGGAAGGCAGTTCTCAAGTCGAAAAGTTCTTAAGTCGAATCTGCATTTCCCATAGGAATGCATTGAAAACCATTTAATCCGTATCTGCTCTTTATGTCCATAGAAACTAATGGGAAGCTGCTATTCCGCCTTCTGCCACTAGAGGGGGATATTTTTTATTTTTTTTTCTTTTAACCTAAGATGACTTAGCTTTTTAAAAAAGGAAAAAAAAGAGTTCGTAACTCGAATCTAAGTTCGTAAGTCGAGTCCATATATTCCTATGAGAGCAGTTCGTAAGTCGAAACGTTTGTATGTCGAGCCGTTCGTAAGTCGAGACCCCACTGTACCTGTTTTTAGAGGGCAAAGCCAATGTCCAGCATAACAGAGAATGTCTGGGAAAATTCACTGTATGTATATTCTCACCTACACAAATTATTTTAAAGCAGTTAGACAATACATGGCCCTTAATTCAGCAGAGTTCCTTTGACCCTGTGGAAGAGATTTCTGACTATGATATTTCAGATGATTGTAACAGTTAATTACTATATGAGTGAGAAGTACGTTTTGTAATTACAGAGAGCAAGAGCTTAGGAAGGTGCAGGCAAAGAGGTTGTAGCTTTTCAATACATTAAGGCAATTCAATCAGAATCTTCGTCATCAAGGTATTCCTCTGCATTGCTTAATGTTCTCATTATGTCTAGAAAGCAGAACAAAAAAGAAGGAAAGCAAAGACATATAAAATTGTCCTCTGTAGCAGGGCCAGACATCCTGAATATTTAAACATCTATTATCAACATCTGATACCTCAACGTTTCAGTAAGCTGCATTTTTACATATCTCTATGTTCTTGAAATAAGTACGATAAATAAAAATGCCTCCTCCCACACCAACTGTGAATTCTGCCTGACTATAAAGAACACTTCATCATTCGATGGTTTGTTTGTTTTTACATGCCCTTGAGAAAATGGAAAACAAATTAATCTCTGCATTCTTTGAAAATAAGTCTATTCTATTGAAAGCTCTCTGCCTGCTGAATGATACATTTTCTTTGATGGATCAGTTTGCCTGGCTTTCTGGACAACATGTTTCCTGAGTCTCATGCTACTAACCAAAACATCTCCATCTCCTTAACATATATTCTATGTTGCCATTTTGACCCCTTCCAAAATTCTGTGAAGGAGACGGGGTGACTGTGCAACAAACCATCATGTGCAGAAGTACCCCGTTAATGAATACATGTAAAGCCTTGGAGTCCATTTCTAACCTCATCAGCTAACCCCATCTTATGTTTCTTGTTCTGAAGACACTCATTGTTCTTTTATTGGTGTAAGGTAGTAAAAGAATGATTGGAAATCAAAGGATTACCTTGACCTTGTTTCTTTTTAAGCAAGGATGCACATGCAGCATTAGTCGCCATATCCAGAGCCAATTTTTTCTCATTGTTTCTTAAATCTATTCGAGCACCTTTATAAAAACCAAAGATAGCATATGATTATTATAAATACAGGTAGAAGAAGAACTATAATCACACACTGTATCCAGGTGTCTGAAGACCTGGATCCTGGTCCATGAAAGCTCATAGTACAAGTGGTACCTTGCAAGATGAAATTAATCCGTTCCACGGTTAATGCCATCTAGTGAAAATTTCGTCTTGTGAAGCGTGTTTTCCCATAGGAATGCAATGAAATTTAATTAATGCGTTCCTATGGGGCAAAAATTCAGAAACAAAAAAAAAGTCAGAAAAAAGTCACCAGGTACAGTAGACTGAGACCCGCTCCTCACAGTGATCGGTAGCCCCGGAATAGCCAGACTCTTTGTGGGCATAACACTGAACCACTCCTCACAGTGCCTTGGTAGCCCTGGAATAGCTGGACTCTGTGTGGGCAGAGTGCTGAACAGATGAGAGTCGGCAACCAGCAGAGAGTCGGCAGCCATTTTGAGAGGCGACCACATGGCTGCTGCCTCTCAAAATGGCTGTCGCCTCTGCTGGTTGACGACTCTCAGCTGTTCGGCGCTCTGCTCACACAGAGTCCGGCTGTTCCGGGGCTACCAAGGGACCGCTTGGTCTACTGTACCTGGTAAGTGACTTTTTTCTGACTTTTTGGCCGTCTTGCGAGGCACGAAAAAACTCACAAGACCCATTCATCTTGTGATTTTTTTTTGTCCTGCGAGGCATTCGTCTTGTGAGGCACCACTGTACTGAATTACTTGTATTACTGCTGTATCGGCAGTGACTGCAATTCAGAAAACAGCAATATGGAAAGTTTGTCTCTTTGTTTCAAGAGACTAAAGAAGCTCATCTTAAGATCTGACTTTTTCTTCCTATGGGCAATCCACAATGCAAAGCTTCCAAAGATTTGCATTCAACATGTATCAAACAGGGAAGGAACAGCAGTGTTAACAGATGATCTGATGAGTCTACAAAATCAGCCAGACTGTATTGGGCCTGGCACCTTGGCCACACAAATGTGTTTGGCCCACTTCAGACCAAGGAAGCACTGCTCAATAAATTGCAATATGCATGAGGACTGAATTTGCATGTTACATCCTAACGCCATCCTTCCTTCCTCTTTTCTCTGTACACAGAGACCAACCCTGGAAGTGTTCAATTAACAAATGTTTCCCTTGAAGTCAGACCAAGAACTTATAGCAGCCAGAGCAGGAGCAATACAAACCTGTTTCAAATCATGGCTTCACATCCTGGTATAGCCAGAGCAGATGTTTCAAATCATGGCTTCACATCCTGGTAAACCTAGTTTCCTGAGGAGAACGATTAAAAGCTATGGTTCATTAACACAAAAAGCACTGAATTATCGTGTACTAAGTACATGAGAACACTGCACATAGGCATAAGCTCATGCATTTCTCAGCTTCTTATGCAGCAATATGCAAACTCAAACCAGACGTATGCCTCTAACAGAACACAACTGTGTTGGTATATAACTTACCTTTTGCCAGCAGCATTTCTACAATATCTGCGTAGCCCTTCCATGCAGCAGCATGCAATGCAGTGTCTCCTAGTTTATTCTGTGGAGGGAGAAGGAAAATAACCATCAGAGTTCGAAGGGGCCGTGATCATTCAGTTCATTCCACTGGCAACCAATCATATTATTCCAGCCCAATTCTTGAAAGCCATTCAATGTGTAATGCCGTACCTGTTGGTTTAGTTCTACATTTGGCTGCGTCAATAACACTTCCACTATGTCTACATGAAGTAAAAGAAAAGGAAAAACCTAATGAGAAACTAGAACGTTTACTCTTAGCTAAAATGTAAGAGGAAGGTCAGAATCCTGACTCAGTCAAATGCCTGCATCATGTTTAAATCTAAAAAGTGAATTAGCAAAGAACTGTGAAACAATCAATGCATAAAATTTATAATACATTTCAATGTTTAGAACTTTCTGATTTGCTATTATGATTTTAGCTCCACATTTATTTTGGCATATTTTTAAAAATTATCTTCCAATATGTTTCTTAACTACTGTGACCCTACATGAATTCAGACTGTAATTGTTATTGTAACAGAAAAAGAAATAGTAGCTGGTCCATCAACTCAGCCAATGGAAAATCCGAAAAGATTGTCATAAATCTTGATAAAATTCTAGGATACCTTTGCATGGGGATGGAGAAGAAACTTATTCTTATTTCCATTTTAGTTTAATTGAATGAATGTAGTTATGCAATGTAGTTCTCTAATTTAAAAAGAATGCATACAAAAATGTGTATATTAAGGGGAGGTGCACACGTGTGTATGGTGACAAAAATAACTCACAAAATGCAGTATCTTGGGGAAACTGCAAAAATCCACAAAAAAACCAACTCCATATTTTAAGCAGAAACTCTGTGCACAAATAAGCAACCTTAGAAAAATATATTCTTTGTGCTGGCGTTAAAAAAAATGCAAGCTGATGGGAAAATGGGACTGAAGAAACTTAGGAATGGAAAGAGAGAAATGGAGAGAAACTAACAGGTAACTCCACCCCTACCTTTGTGTCCAGCATGGCATGCCCAGTACAGGGCTGTGCTTCCAGCTTTATCCAAGCCATTGACACCGACTCTGTTATCCAAACACTCCCTCAGCCAGCTTAGGTTTCCTGAAACAAAAATCATTTTAATGGAACATCAGTTTTTAAAATTCAGAAATTAAAGTGAGATCCAATTAGACTACATTTTAGTATAAATTCAGGCCACTTTGCTATTAAATATATCTATATTACTGAGTCATAGTATTCTTACATGATACCTTAGGGCAATGGGATTTAAGAGCCTTCCCTCTTAGAAAAAAAACTTTTTGTTTGTAGGATAAAGTGAATATTTTGTACACAAACACAAAAGAACTTTCACAGTTAAATGTATGTGCAAGGAATTGTCTGGTACTCAAATATCACCTTTCTGAAAAAAGGTGATATTTGTAGTGGCTCCAGCTATTTTAATTCATTACGTGACACCTATTATCTTGGCTTCCCTCGACTTTTCTCGCCTAGTATAGCACCTCTAATTGACTTTTCTTACTTAATAATGAGTTAATTATGTGCCACAAATTACAACATAAGGGAATTAAGAACTAAGTGCTCTACACCCGAGGAAGCAATTTACCATTCCCCCCTTCTAGGAGTGCTCTAGGAATGTGCAGCAGATGATGCTAATTCAATATTGTATTTTGGCCAGTGAAAGAATGTGTCTAATATCATCTATTCTCATTCTAATGAATATGTTTCAAGATGGGGACATGTTTTTTTTCCAACAAATGAGGCTATACAGAACCTGGAGTCCATAATATTTGCTCAAGATACCCAAATCAGCAAGAATAAAAATGGAAAGGGCTTTAGTGTTTCAAACAAACAAAATGTAAAGAGACTATATATAGACACTGAAAACAATCCAGCTCTTGTAATGTATCCAAAGAGCTTGTTCTGCCAACAGAATGTCATCTATCAACCACATTGTCCTTTCCTGTATGGCTTTCCTTTTCCAGCCCCGCAAAATAATTTCTGCTTGAGAAAGTTGGAGAATGCAAAGGGAAAGGAAAATTCAGCTGCAAGCCTGGAATCCCACTTATGTGCCAGCCTCACCCATAGCCCAATCTAATGCATTCCCCTAAAATAAATGACGGAAAAGCAAATGAATTCCAAGAAATCCAGTTAAATAATGCAGCCTCACCCATAACCCAATCTAATGCATTCCCTAAAATAAATGACGGAAAAGCAATTGAATTCCAAGAAATCCAGTTAAATAATGCTACTTTCTAGTGGCCACTGAACATGTATTGGCTATATACAATTATAGCAGAGATGTGTGTGCTATAAACCCCATCGGATTACCTCTCTTGGCAGCTTCGTGTAGTGGGTTGTCGATGGATTCTGCTTGCTCAGCCACTAAACAACAAATACAAAAACACACAACATGTTAACCAGTTGTTTTAATTTATGCCGCCATTTAATGCACTATTAAATGTGCCTGGGATAGCAGCATCCTTAATTCCTTCAGTATTAATATGTTGATCACATTAATTTAACTTAATTCATAAACAATCATGGACATTAAATTTACATTTTACTCCCTGCTGTGTAAGCCACAAATAACTTTTTAAAAAATGTTTAAGAAAGGTGAATGGGCAATGATCATGATCAAGTGAACTTGCTGGAAACCAGCTTCCTAATCTCTTCAATATCAGTTCCGTTCCCCCATTCATCTACATTTTTCATACAAGAATAATCTGTTTTAACATATACTTAATAAGGGCTTGGTAACTGACATCTTTAATTTCTGACCTATTAGTTAAGAGAGAAAAGCATCATCATTTGAAAACATTTTTCATCCAGCAGGTGGCAGCACAAGAAAACCTCAACTTAAAAAGCTTTCCTTGAAGCTGCCCGGTGTTCATTTTGTCCCAGCCAATCTGGACCAGTGTTTGCAAAAAATCTGTTTTTGTTCTACAATTCCAAGAATTCCTCAGTTGGTAGGAGTAAAAACTAAACTGAATGGGGCATTCTGAGCGGTGTCATCTCCCCAATGCAATTTATCCAAGCTGTAGTCCTGATGTTACCATATAGATTCTATTTGGCTCCCACTGACACATATTACTTTAAAATAATAATTCATTCCTTTTGCTTCACACCTACAACGGAAAGGTAAAGAAAGAAAGAAAGAAAGAAAGAGAAGGGAAGGGAAGGGAAGGGAAGGGAAGGGAAGGGAAAAAAGTGCACTATACCATAGTTGCTGGGGATTAATCCAGTCCTTCCTTTACAGGTTCCCTTCCACCAGTTTGTGTCACTCTGGAATGAAAAGAAAGCAGTGCTTGAAAAGAAAATACAGTGGTGCCTCGCTTAACGAGTGCCCCGGTTAACGACGAAATCGCATAGCGATTTGGCTTTTGTGATCGCATTGCGATGTTTTAAATGGGGAAAATCGCTTTGCGACGATCGGTAAGCTGTTTTGCTTACCGATTTTCGCATAGCGATGTTTTCCCAACAGCTGATCAGCGGTTCCAAAATGGCCGCCAGATAAAAAACATGGCCGCCCACTGTGTTTTGGGCCGGATTCCTCGCATACTGGGCAGTGAAAATGGCTGCAGTATGGAGGGTTTTTGCTTAAAGGTAAGTTTTTTGCCCATAGGAACACATTGAAGGGATTTCAATGCATTCCTATGGGCTTTTAAAAATAGCTTAGTGATGTTTTCGGTTAGTGGCGATTTTTGCTGCACCGATTAACATCGCTAAGCGAGGCACCACTGTATTCACTTTGTTTTAGATCTGTTCTGTTAACATAAATTGGCCCAATTAACATGCTGTATTTATGAACTCACCATATCAGAAATGTAGATGATATCCCCTTCTTCAAAGTACAGTTCATCTGGCTGGAAAAATAAATGTGTTATTTTCAGTGTACATGTTGATTTAAAGCATATTTTTTAACTTTAAAGAATGGCATTTGGAATCACATTCAATCAAAATATTTTAGGACTGCAGCATTATTATGCATTATAATGAGGGAGCAAATTACTACTCTCTTGCTTAAATGCTAATGTTGGCCATCCTCATGTATTCTGATCAGGGGGAAATTATGTTTGTGGATTGCAGAATGAGCATGGTCAGTAGCCATGATATTTATTATTTGTTACATTTATAGCCCGCCCATCTAGTCCTACCGACTACTCTGGGCGGGTGACAATGTATCAAATCTAAGTACAATTTAAAAACATAACAACATATTACTAAAAATGCAAAGATCCAGATAGGAGAGGCATGGTGACATCATGGGAGTTGTAATCCAAACCCTAATTTTTCCTAGCTCCTGAATCAAACTCTAATTTGCACATGGATCTTAAGTTTGTGGGAGACCTTTTGCATTCTGCCCCACTCCCACAGCTCGCATCCTCCAGTCTCCCTGCACTCAGAAATTCATGCAAGAAGAAGAACATGGGCAAGGCTGGCACGCAGTGGAAGAAAGAAAAGGGACCAAGAGAAATGCTCTGGCTCCAGAAAAAAAAGCATTGGTGCTTCTGCCCTAAGCCTGTTGTAGTAGCTGCTGGGACAGAAAGTGAGGCTTTTTTCTGTCTTCCACTGCCACCTGCTGATTTGCTAATAAATAATAACACAGCTAGTACATCTCCTGGAAGACCCATCTAAGTCTTCTGTTTCCTTCAAAGGAGTTCAGGTGTCCTCTGTTTCAATCAGAGAAATGGTACTGAGAAGGGATGGCGATTTCATCACTTTTTCCTCTATCCATATTTTGTATTGAAACACTCCAAATTTCTATTAACATTGCATTGGCAAAATGTAGTGGTGCATCCATAAGGACAGAATTAGTATTCTATGTTGCAGCACTCACAGTGCCTGGATGGAAAAGGTCAGTTAGATCAGTGGTTCCCCAACCTTGGGCCTCCAGATGTTCTTGGACTTCAACTCCCAGAAATCCTAGCCAGAAGAGGTGGTGGTGAAGGCTTCTGGGAGTTGTAGTCCAAGAACATCTGGAGGCCCAAGGTTGGGGACCACTGTGTTAGATTAGCAAAATGGTGTAGACAAAAGGCTTAGATCTTCCCACTCCAGCACTGCTGCTCCGGTTGGAATTCAGTCAGCTACTTGAGACGGTATGAATAGTTTCTATAACAATAACAAAGAGAGGGGATCCAGTCACTAATGTCCCATGTCATTAGTAATTTGGAGCTCAGGGGAAAAATGCGCTGTGTTGGAACTCCCAAAATCTGGTCCATCCTGGCTGAGGATTATAGGAGTTTTAGTTTAAAAAAAGTAACAATTCTAAACTCTAGGTCTCCTTAAATTTCACATGCCCCTTTCGGAAGGCATCTTTTTTAAGGCATCGATGGACACCTATCTCCTTTACTTGTCCACAAACATCTCTGCACTTCTTACCATCTCTCTCTACCAGGGTGGGCAACTTATGGCCCTCCAGATATTGCTGGAGTGGAATTCCCGTCAGCCCTAGCTAGCAGACAATGCTGAGGCATGATGGGAACTGGAATCCAACAATACCCTCATATCCTCTGCCATCAGTGTTCACATATAGTGTCACAACTGGCAAAAATGCAACCTTCGCCTCCAGTACCCTTCCCATCATCATTTTTGTGGCTGGGTGTCTACTGCAATAGAGACCATATTTCATTCCTCACACTGGCCAGGCAGAAGTGCTCTGAATTTGTCTACATCTGGAAGTATGGTGTTCGTTCCTTAGTTTGGTGGTTAAAAAAACAGGCATGCCACTCTGAAGCATAGAGAAATTTGAATGATCACAACACCAGCATTCTCAGTAAGTCTTGCAAAAGGGTCCGGTCAAACAGAATAGGTACAAATCACTTCCAAGGAACCAGATGACCTCTGGCTGAAACTTTTTTGTCTTATTCTTTCTCTGAAAAGAAACGAACACTACACACACTTCCCAAGAAGAAAGACTGACTGGCTACATTTCCCCCTCTTTTTATCTCTAGAAAGAGAAAGAGTTCAGACATTGAGTTCAAAAGGGTCTGGTCAAACAGAATAGGTACAAATCAATTCCAAGGAACCAGATGACCTCTGGCTGACACTTTTTTGTCTTGTTCTTTCTCTGAAAAGAAATGAACACTACACACACTTCCCAAGAAGCAAGACTGACTGGCTACATTCCCCCCGCCCCCTCTTTTTATCTATAGAAAGAGAAAGAGTTCAGACATTGAGTTCATAAGTATTTTTCCAGCTAAGTAGACATAGTGAAGCTTGCTGGTAGAGAGCCTACACTGTTTCTAAAACAGATCTACAGAGGTGTTCTTTCCGTATGTTCCTCAGTCTTCTAAGGATGTGGAGCAAGGAACATTTAGAAGTATCATATACCTCATTCAGAATTATAGTAAAAACATTCTGTGCTAGCTTATTGTACAAGGCTTATTCAAAGGACTTTAAGCCTTTTCCAGGATATAAAATAATGTTTATGCTACTGCCCCAAAAATGTGTTGAATCAGTAAGAGAGAGAGAAAAATATCAATGTCTTAAAATCACATCATTGCAGATCTTCTTACCCAACAACATATCCATTCACTGTCACAATGAGATAACTGTTTTATGTTCAGCGGACTTTCAGAGAAATACATGAATGCTAGTCAAGATCTTGGATGTCACAGCTTTTTTATGCCATTTCTTTATCCCAACGCAGCTAAAGGACCACAGAGACTGAGAAACCTTCCCTTACAATCCTAATTTTAAAGGTCTGAAACAGTCCTCTTATAAGATTTCTTTACAAGAAAATGCCATCTTACCCCAAATGCTTGGTAATACTCTTTCTTAATTTGGCTCTAGCTGACATCTTTTAGCTAGTGCATGAACTAAATTTAACCACCCATTCTAGCAGCTAAAGGACCATAGAGCCTGAGAAACCTTCCCTTACAATCCTCTAAATTTTAAATGTCTGAAACAGTCCTCTTATTAGATTTCTTTACAAGAAAATGCCATCTGACTCCAAATGCTTGGAAATACTCTTTCTTAATTTGGCTCTAGCTGACATCTTTTAGCTAGTGCATGAACTAAATTTAACCACCCATTCTCTGATATGAGGATTGTCACATTGCTGTGTGCCTCTCTGTTCATGGCCAAACAGCAGTTGAATAAATCATGACGGTGTAATACAGTATGTCATGTGCTGCTGTTCATCTGAGGCTGTATTTAACTAATTTTCAGACCTGCTACAGACCAGATGATTTTTGATACGTCCTGATACGTAAAACCATAGAATTCAAAGCTTTCTCTGGATAATTTTTGGACTTTTTGTTTTTGCTTTCTCTTCCCATTCAAGCTCCAGGCACTTTCTCTTTTACATGACCATATAAGGCAGTGAAAAGTGTACCAGGTGATTGGCAACCCCATGACCGCAGAGCTGGAGAAAGACATTTAATCTACACAGCCTGAGGTGAAATCTGACACCTCATGCTGATGCAACAGGTTGGGGATCACCCTTTTGCTATATTAATTTAGATTCAGGGATTTCAACACTGGTCTGGATAATTTTTGGACTTTTTTTTTTTTTTTTGCTTTCTCTTCCCATTCAAGCTCCACAAAGCCTAGCCTGAAAAGAGGTCCTGCCAGAACCAAAAGTGTTTCTGTCTGCAATATTTAAACTGTCCAATAAAGATATTACCACCAACAACCCTGCTTTTAAAGTTTTGAAAGTTACAGAACACGTCCTGTTCTATTGCTCACATCATTTCCAAGCTGTTTCTTCAGGAAAAGCTGCTGCTGAGGCTAGTGGGATTCAGGGTACATTCATATAAGCAATGCTCAGCTTCCAGTCTACAGAAAAATGATAATATGTGTCCACCATCTATTGTTAGCTATTAAAATATTTTAAAGCCGATCTTCAGGCTTACAGATGTCAGAAAGCTATGCAAATACAATAATAATAATCATGTGCCATTAAGTCAATTCCCACTTATGGGAAGTATATTCGATGTTTGTGGTGCCACAGTTGAGAATCCACTGTTTCTTGTTGATAATTGTTGATAAACATCATCGCTAGTAAGTATAAAGTGAAAGCCAAATCATACACTTTATTAACATCCTTCATCAAGAAGGCAAGGCACAAAACAGATGGTTATGTGAAGAAGATTTTACAGATCAACAAATATGTGGACGATCAAATTGAAACACTGTGCTCCAAAAATGTCTGATTTTTTAATGTCTGATCTGATTTCACTGTAAGCGAAACAGAAATATTCCTTTCTATATGTCATGAACATACACTAGACTGGGCTCCTTTGCTAAAGTCGTATTTGGAAATAACCCTTTCCTCTTTTTTGCTTTCTTTAAAGAAACGAAACCATACTTACAGTTCTGGGTTCAAAGGTATACAGGGCTCTAAAAACTTTGACTTGTCCTGAAAACAGACAAGAGAAATATGCATTGATAAGAGAACATGTCTTATTCAATTCTAAAGCTAAGCTGTACAAACATCTGTGTGATGAACACTAACGAACAAAGTAAATATTTTAAAGAAATAACATTCTAGATGAAAGAGCCCTGCTGCCACCAACTATATGTCATGAGTACAAGACAGGGGCTTATGAAACCTGGGTTTGAATCCCTGCTTCTTCACCATTCTCACTTGGTGACCGCGGGCCAGTAACCACCGTAGAATAATCCTCCTTATCGGACTGTTGTGAAGACAAAAAGGGCAAAGAAGAGTCAGGAACACCACTCAGAAACTCCTTCTTTCAAACAGACACGGGAAGGCTGTCCTCTTCTGTGTTCAGCCACAAGAGAGAGGTGAAGAATGGGATGAAAAGACATTTCCTTTAAGTTCAGACTTAGCTATTGGCTGCTGACAATGCATTTTTGCTGTGAACAACCTTGCTTTTGACTAGGGGAAGAACAATACCAGCATCTACAGAATCAAGAGGTTTGGAGGCAACCATAAAGGTAATCTAATTCAAACCTGGTGATGCAGAAAATAGGCTGCTACAGCATCTCTATGAGGTTGCTATTCAGCCTCTGCTTAAAAAAAAACCAATAAAGATATGTCCACAATCATCCTTGCAGTCCGTTTGCCTGCTTTAAAAAAAAATTCTAAACATTTCCCAGAAGTATCAATTTTGCTTTCCAAATGTTAACCATAAAGGTAATCTAATTCAAACCTGGTGATGCAGAAAATAGGCTGCTACAGCATCTCTATGAGGTTGCTATTTAGCCTCTGCTTAAAAAAACCTAATAAAGATATGTCCACAATCATCCTTGCAGTCCGTTTGCCTGCTTTTTTTAAAAAAAATTCTAAACATTTCGCAGAAGTATCAATTTTGCTTTCCAAATGTTCCTGGATGGCAATGAATTAGGAGAAAATATAGAGGGGCTGGAGAATTTGTCTAGCCAGGAATCTTTGGAGAGCAAAACCAAACATTTATTCAGACAGAAATACTTCTCACCACAACCCTACATTCCTTATTTAATATCTAGTTTTTCTCCAGTGAGTTCAAGGTGGTTTACCTGACTTTCCTCCTCTCTTGTATCCTCACAACTGACTTTTGAGATATTCTGGGTTGGGTGGAATGGGGTGGGGAGACACACAGACACACACACACAGATGGGGGAGCCCAAAGTCATCCAATGAATTTCATGGCTGAGTAGGGACAAGAACCTGGGGGCCCCAAGTTCCAAAAACTGCACTGGTTCACAATAAGGTATATATCAGTGGTGCTGTCATGGTACTGGAGAAAGTTTATAGAGACTGACAGGCAATAGATTTCCTGAGAATAACTACCACATTCATCAGTATAGGATGAACTACAGGTTTGCAGGTTCACAATTCATGGCCAAACCACTTAATACGAGAAATGTATGACTGTTCCTAGGGCCTATTAATTGAAACCAAGAGTAGGCAACGGTGGCCCTCCAGCTGTTGGTAGACTGCATCTCCCATCATCCCTCATTACTGGGTATGGAAGCCTTAGCTAATGAGAGATGCAATCCAATAACATCTGGGGAAGAACAGATGCCCTGAATGGAACCAACGAAGTAGGGAAAGCTGCTTTGGAAGAAGCAAATTTAGAACACAGGAGGTGAATGGTCCACATCTATGCCTAGAACAGTCATATTAATTCCACCAGTGAGTGATGTACGTTGGCAGATTGGCAAGATTTCTTGTTTCCTTTCTGGGAGGGAATACTAAGGTAATTATTAGGTATCTAGCTGCAGAGTCAAAGACTAGAGTTTGACTCCTCACTGTGCATTTTTATTAAAGCCAGAATGTGTGACCTTGGGCAAGCTGCACAGTCCCAGGATGCCCCCAGTAGAAGGAAATGGTAAAGCACTTCTGAGTATTTTCTATCTGGAAAACCCTGGAAAGGGCCCACCATAAATCAGAATTGACTTGGTGGAACATGATGATGATGATTTATCCAAGGCTAGGCTCTTAACCCCCTTCATGAATTGCTGCCTGGTCGTGGCAAAGGGGCTTGAATAATTCAGAGAAGCTATGGGCTATGCCGTGCAGGGACACCCAAGATGGACAGGACATAGTGAAGAGAACTGGCAAGCCACTTCAGTATCATTGCCAAGAAAACACCATGAACATAAAGAAAAGGCTAAAAGATATGACGCTGGAAGATGAGCCCCTCAGGTCGGAAGGCGTCCAACATGCTACTGAGGAAGAGCGGAGGACACGTAGAAGTAGCTCCAGAGCTAATGAAGTGGTTGGGCCAAAGCCGAAGGGACGCTCAGCTGTGGACGCACCTGGAAATAAAAGGAAAGTCCGATGCTGCAAAGAAAAATATTGCATAGGAACCTGGAATGTAAGATCTATAAACCTTGGTAAGCTAAATGTGGTCAAAAAGGAGATGGCAAGAATAAACATTGACATCCTGGGCATCAGTGAACTAAAATGGACAGGAATGGGCAAGTTCAACTCAGACGATTATCATATCTACTATCTACTATTGTGGGCAAGAATCTTGCAGAAGAAATGGAGTAGCCCTCATAGTCAACAAAAGAGTGGGAAAAGCTGTAGTGGGACACAATCTCAAAAATGATAGAATGATTTCAATATGAATCCAAGGCAGACCTTTCAACATCAGAGTAATCCAAGTTTATGCACCAACCACCAATGCTGAAGAGGCTGAAATTGACCAATTCTATGAAGACTTACAACACCTTCTAGAACTGACACCAAAGAAAGATGTTCTTCTCATTATAGCGGACTGGAATGCTAAAGTAGCGACTCAAGAGATAAAAGGAACAACAGACAGGTTTGGCCTTGGAGTTCAGAATGAAGCAGGGCAAAGGCTAATAGAGTTTTGTTAAGAGAACAAGCTGGTCATCACAAACACTCTTTTCCAATAACACAAGAGGCGACTCTACACATGGAAATTACCAGATGGGCAATACCAAAATCAGATTGATTATGTTCTCTGCAGCCAAATATGGAGAAGCTCTATACAATCAGCAAAAACAAGACCTGGAGCTGATTGTGGCTCTGATCATCAGCTTCTTATAGCAAAATTCAAGCTCAAACTGAAGAAAATAGGAAGCACCACTGGGCTAGCCAAGTATAATCTAAATCAAATCCCTTATGAATACACAGTGGAAGTGAAGAACAGATTTAAGGAACTAGATTTGGTGGACAGAGTGCCTGAAGAACTATGGATGGAGGCTCGTAACATTGTACAGGAGGCAGCAACAAAAACCAGTGACAGCAGCCACGGAATTAAAAGACGTCTGCTTCTTGGGAGGAAACTGACGAGAAACCTTGACAGCATCTTTAAAACAGAAACATCAACTTGCCAACAAAGGTCCGCATAGTCAAAGCTATGGTTTTTCCAGTAGTGATGTATTGAAGTGAGAGGTGGACCATAAAGGCTGACCACTGAGGAATTGATGCTTTTGAACTGTGTGCTGGAAGAGATTCTTGAGAGTCCCCTGGACTGCAAAGAGAACAAACCTATCCATTTTGAAGGAAATCGACCCTGAGTGCTCACTAGAAGGACAGATCCTGAAGCTGAGGCTCCAATACTTTGGACATCTCATGAGAAGAGAAGACTCCCTGGAAAAGACCCTCATGTTGGGAAAGTGTGAAGGCAAGAGGAGAAGAGGACGACAGAGGACGAAATGGATGGACAGTGTCATCGAAGCTACCAACATGAATTTGACCCAATTCCGGGAGGCAGTGGAAGACAGAGGACCTGGCGTGCTCTGGTCCATGGGGTCACGAAGAGTTGGACACGACTTAATGACTAAACAATAACAAGGCTCTTAACATTTAATCTGGCTTGCTGATGGATGAACATTGGAAAGGAAAAGAATCTGAGGAAAGAAAGAAACAAGACAGCAGCTCTGCAATTAGAAGCACAGCTTCCTTAAGAGTTAAAAGATATCCACGATTTGACAAGGTGTGTTTGGTGTATTTACACTTGCTTTTTAATGGAAGCTGACACTTAACAGAATTCAACCCAACACAAGAAAATGAAACTGTATGAATATATATGGAAGCACAGAGAACCCAGGCTACATACTTTAATTATTTGTTTAAGATGTATCCGAGACCTTTTCCAAAGTCAAGGGAATGTGTGATTCACAAAGATAATAATTAAAAACCACTCAACTTCAAAATTAAATCAAGTTCATCTAGAAGTCAGCAGCCAGAGCATCAATTACTTTTTTCCCCTTTTATTATCACTCATTTATTGGGGTTCAAGATTAAACTATGATGGTTTGCCCACCCACTTTCCTTTTAAGGAGCCCATGTGTGATGTTTGCTGATGCTTTCCCTGCCACCTATAGGTTACCTCTACAGTCTCACCCAAGTGCTTTTGTCTTTAGCCAAGCTTCCCGCCTGGTCTGCACGTGTGCTTAGTGAGTAGAAAAACAGTGGGAAAGGAAAGCTACAGTTACAAGCCCTTGTCTTTTCCTTTTACCAATGCACAGGCTACCCTCCCCATCTACCTGATTGGTGAGATTCATGTTTAAATACACCAGTTTGTCACCGTCACAGCTCCTCTCCCATCCCTAGTCATGACAGACATTTGCAGGGGGAATCTAGTCGCCCCAAATCATGCACAAGAGTAGCAATCTACCCATAATTATTCATCCCTCCCAACACTGAAGTACCCTCACACTAAATAGAGCATCATCATGTTGCCCAAGCTTAATTTCCGCTGCTTTCACTAGAACAATGGGCTAATAAAAGCTATTATGCTGTCTATTGAACCACCATCCAAATGGATTTTTAAAAACTTGCACTGCATGAGTTCCAGGGTACTTTCTGACCTCATGAGAATTCCAGTGTACTGAACATTAGCAGTAGGGTCATGGTGGAAGTTAGCGCAAAGCTTCAATTTACACTTCTTATATTTTCTGACCCACTGAACATTCCACTCTTCCTCTCGCACC